CAGGTAACTGATGCAAGCAGTTACCTTTTTGGACGACATTGTTCCCATTATGCCTGGCGAAAACCAAACTCTACATTCCACAATAAGAACATCATACCAAAGGTCAAGCATGGTGGTGGTGGTGTGATGGTTTGGGGATGCTTTGCTGCCTCAGGACCTGGATGACTTGCCTTAATAGAAGGAACCATGACTTCTGCTCTGTATTAGAGAATTCTACAGGAGAATGTCAGACCATCCGTCTGTGAGCTGAAGCTGAAGCGCAGCTGGGTCATGCAGCAAGACAATGATCCAAAACACACAATCAAGTCTACATGAAAATAGCTAAAAAGCAACAAATTGGAAGTTTTGGAATGGCCTAGTCAAAGTCCAGACCTAATCCCAATTGAGATGTGGTGGCAGGACTTGAAACGAGCAGTTCATGCTTGAAAACCCACACGTCACTGAGTTAAACAGTTCTGCATGGAAGAGTGGGCCAAAATTCCTCCACAGCGACGTGAGAGACTGATCAACAACTACAGGAAGCATTTGGTTGGAGTCATTGCAGCTAAAGGTGGCACAACCAGTTATTGAGTATAAGGGGGCAATTACTTTTTCACACAGGGGAATTGGGTGTTGCATAACTTTGTTTATAAAATAAATGAAATAAATATGTAATTGTTGTGTTATTTCTCCACTTATGTTCCCTTTATCTAATATTAGGTTTTGGTTGAAGATCTGATAACATTCTGTATCACAAATATGCACAAGTAGAGAAAATTAGAAATGGGGCAAATACTTTTTCATAGCACTGTAGATCCATTATTGCATGGAACTCCGTTCCATCTCATATTGCTCAAATAAACAGCAAACCTGGTTTCAAAAAACAGATAAAGCAACACCTCACGGCACAACGCCTCTCCCCTATTTGACCTAGAGAGTTTGTGTGAATGTATTGATATGTAGGCTACGTGTGCCTTTAAACATTTTTTGTATGTAGTTCTGTCCTTGAGCTGTTCTTGTCTATTAATGTTCTGTATTATGTCATGTTTCATGTTTTGTGTGGACCCCAGGAAGAGTAGCTGCTGCTTTTGCAACAGCTAATGGGGATCCTAATAAAATACCAAATGTAAATAGTATTGTCCTGTACCCTACCTGCCCTAAGCTCTCTCCTGGCCCCTTACACCAAGTCTGAATGTGTCCTGCTAGGTGACCTAAACTGGGACATGCTTAAACCACCTGACCAAGTCCTAAAGCAATGGGACTCCCTAAATCTTTCTCAGATTATTACCAATCCCACAAATGAATTACAAATTATGACTCCAAACACCCAGAAAAGGCAGCTCTCCTTGATGTTATCCTCACAAATAATCCTGATAGGTATCAGTCTGGTGTTTTCTGTAATGACCTTAGTGATCACTGTTTTACAGCCTGTGTTCGTAATTGCTACTCAGTGAAACGACCTGTCCTGATTTGTCACAGACGCTTGCTAAAAACTTCAATGAGCAAGCCTTCCGTCATGACCTGGCCTCTGAAAATTGGTATAGAATCAGCTTGATCCCCTCTGTCGAAAACGCTTGGACCTTCTTTTTTAAATATTTTCAGTGGTATTGTTAACAAACACGTCCCCATAAAGAAAATGAGAATTAAAAACAGGTTCAGCCCCTGGTTCGACCGTGATCTGGCGGAGTTACTCCACCTCAAGAATTCCATTTGGTGAAAGGCTCGGCACACGCATACTCAGGCTGACTGGCTCTCGTTCAGGCAAATGAGAAATAAGTGCACTCAGGCTATCCAGAAGGCTAAAGCTAGTTACTTTAAGGAGCAGTTCTCTCTCTGTGGGTCTAACCCCAAGAAGTTCTGGAAAACGGTTAAAGACCTGGAGAATAACCCTCCTCCTCACAGCTGCCCATGTCCCTTAATGTTGATGATGTGGTTGCTACTGACAAGGAGCGCATGGCTGAGCTCTTTAATCACCACTTCATTGAGTAAGGATTCCTATTTGACACAGCCATGCCTCCTTGCCCGTCCAATATTTCCTCATCTCCCAGTCCTTCTAATGCGACTAGCCCGACGCTCCTCCCTCTTTTTCCCCTGCCCCGCTACAAAGTTTCTCCCTGCAGGCGGTCACGGAGTCCGAGGTGCTAAAGGAGCTCCTTAAACTTGACACCAAAAAAACATCTGGGTCAGATGGTTTAGACCCTTTCTTCTTTAAGGTTGCAGCCCCCATCATCAACAAGCCTGTCTCTGAACTTTTTAACCTGTCTCTCCTCTCTGGGGAGGTTCCCATTGCTTGGAAGGCAGCCACCGGTGTGATTACTACCTCTGAGGGTTTAGAGGTTGAGGTAGTCACCTCATACAAGTACTTGGGAGTATGGTTAGACAGTACACTGTCCTTCTCTCAGCACATATCCAAGCTGCAGGCTAAGGTTAAATCTAGACTTGGTTTTCTCTATTGCTCCTCTTTCACCCCAGCTGCCAAACTAACCCTGATTCAGATTACCATCCTACCCATGCTAGATTACGGAGATGTAATTTATAGATTGGCAGGTAAGGGTGCTCTCGAGCTGCTAGATGTTCTTTACCATTCAGCCATCAGATTTGCCACCAATGCTCCTTATAGGACACAACACTGCACTCTATACTCCTCTGTAAACTGGCCATCTCTGTATAGCTGTTGCAAGACCCACTGGTTGATTGTTATTTACAAAATCCTCTTAGGCCTCACTCCCCCCTATCTGAGATACCTACTGCAGCCCTCATCCTCCACATACAACACCCGTTCCTCCAGTCACATTCTGTTAAAGGTCCCCAAAGCACACACATCCCTCTATCGCTCCTCTTTCCAGTTTGCTGCAGCTAGCGACTGGAAGGAGCTGCAAAAAACACTCAAACTGGACAGTTTTATCTCCATCTCCTCATTCAAAGACTCAATCATGGACACTCTTACTAAAAGTTGTGGCTGCTTCGCGTGATGTATTGTTGTCTCTACCTTCTTGCTGTTGTCTGTGCCCATGTTTGTACCATGTTGTGCTGCTGCCATGTTGTGTTGCAACCTTGATGTGTTGTCGTGTGTTGCTGCCATGCTATGTTGTCTTAGGTCTCTCATTATGTAGTGTTGTGTTGTCTCTCTTGTTCTGATGTGTGTTTGGTCCTATATATATATATATATATATATATATATATATATATATATATATACTTTTTTTTAATCCCAGCCCCCGTCCCCGCAGGAGGCTTTTTGGTAGGCCGTCATTGTAAATAAGAATATGTTAACTGACTTGCCTAGTTAAATAAAGGTTAAATAAAAAATGACCAGCCTTTCAAAGGACTTCATGGCTACTGATGTGAGTGCTATGGGGCGGTAGTCATTTAGGCCAGTTACCTTCGCTTTCTTGGTCTGCTTGAAATATGTAGGTATTACAGACTCGGTCAGGGAGAGGTTGAAAATGTCAGTGAAGACACTTGCCAGTTGGTCCCCGTATGCTCTGAGTACACGTCCTGGTAATCCATCTGGAATGGACAGCGCTGTCCATTCTGCTGATACAGCGCATTGGAGATAGGTTGGCGCGAAATCTGTAGGCTATCACTTCAAAAGCACTCAATCAGCGGTCTCAGAGTCTCTGCATTTGAACCTTATGTTTATTGGGGTATAGCGTGACATGAGCAGAATTCAATATAATTCCAATGCAAGAACCCCCAAAAATGTTGCCCGCTCACCGATTTCTACTGGCTAAATGTCAGAGCAAAAACCAAGCCATGAGGTCGAATGAATTGTCTGTAGAGGTGCGAGACAGGATTGTGTCGAGGTACAGATCTGGGGAACGGTAAGAAAAAATGTCTGCAGCATTGAAGGTCCCCAAGAACACAGTGGCCTCCATCATTCTTAAATGGAAGAAGTTTGGAACCACCAAGACTCTACTTAGAGCTGGCCGACCAGCCAAACTGAACAATCGGGGGAGAAGGGCCTTGGTCAGGGAGGTGACCAAGAACCCGATGGTCACTCAACAGAGGAACTCTGGAGCTCTGTCAGATGGGAGAATCTTCCAGAAGGATAACCATCTCTGCAGCACTCCACAAATCAGGCCTTTATGGTAGAGTGGCCAGACAGAAGCCACTCCTCAGTAAAAAAAAAAAACTGCCCGCTCGGAGTTTGCCAGAAGGCACCTAAAGACTCTCAGACCAGGAGAAACAAGATTCTCTGGTCTGATGAAACCAAGATTGAACTATTTGGCCTGAATGCCAAAAACTTCATGTCTGAAGGAAACCTGGCACCATCCCTACGGTGAAGACTCAAAGCTGTAATCGCTGCCAAAGGTGCTTCAACAAAGTACTGAGTAAAGTGTCTGAATACTTATGAAAATGTGATATTTCCGTTTTTAATTTTAATACATTTGCTAAAATCTCTAAAAATATTTTTTCTTTGTCATTATGGGGTATTGTGTGTAGATTGATGAGGGGAAAAAAACAATTTAATACACTTTAGAATAAGGCTGTTATGTAACAAAATGTGGAAAAAGTCAAGGGGTCTGAATACTTTCCGAGAGCACTAACTGCTGAGGCAGGATATTGAAAGGAGTGAAAGTTATCATTTTATGTGCTTGACTTCAGATTTTGCTTTTATTGACCTACTTTGCATTACAGAGGATATGGATTCATTGCTCTGAAGAGGCACTCAGTTGAGCACACTGGGCCCCCTCCTCTCCTGTAGAATTATTTGTTCTGAGAGAATAAACTTTAAACCGAGGCTGCCGATCTGACTTTTCTGGACCCTTCTTCCCGACAGCTTAAGGTCCCAAAGCTTCTGTGCATGTGCAAGATTCTCTACTTTACGCACAGTCTCTGCTCTACTCGTAGAGAACCTCCCATTTCTTTAATAAATTAATGGTTAATATTATTTATTTTTTATTGAAATTGAATTGAAGAACTTCAAGCCCAAAAACAATGACTGATGCAAACAATGTTTCCTTGTCCATCATTTCAATATTGAAAACCTTTACAAAAGATGCACACACAAAAGCCAATAGTAAATAAAAGAATGATTTAATAGAATTTGAATCTTTTGCTTTCAAAAGCCATATTTTACACAAAAATTATGCTTTAAGTTCCAACATACATACATACATCACAACAGCAGTTGAACCTTCATCACTGCAGTGAGAAAGACTGCAGACAGGCAAACAGACAAATGGTCCTCTGGCCTAGTCCAAGTCCTGCCTCGAGTCAAAAGGGGGTAAGCCCCAAAAATAGACTCATCTACAGGCAAGCACCAACTAAACTGGAGGCGGTTGCATACCAGTATACATAAGAAAAAAACTAATATTAGGATAGGCACAATGAGAATCGCTATACATAAAAAACATGAAAAAACAAAAACATCATAGCACATCCATCTGTGTGAGATTTTTCTTTACTTGAATGGTGCATTTGGGGAAGGAAAGTGAAGGAAAGAGACAAAAACATAACAAAAAGCTTGTTTCACAGAGAATAGTGACCACGAAGGGAGGGGAGCTAAGTAAGGGTACATGTCAATAGTCTAAAATGGCCTCCTCATCTCCCCTTCATCTGCACTAATGTGAAAACACAATATGGTAGTCTAGAGGACACCTACTGAGGCAATAGCTGTCTGTCTAGTTATTCCACACCAGTGCAGATAAATAGAACGAGACAATCCGAAGCCACTTTGACTACTGCAAATTAACTAAGCTCATTAAGAACATCCGGGACGTGGCTTGTCCCAAAGGGAAACTCACCTCAGCGGCGATAAACCCCAAACGCCACAAAGCTAAAGAAAATGGTGATGCCCACCAGTGACGCTGTGGCGGGCGCGGTGAAGAACTGCCGGTACTGGATCTGGAAGTACCAGAGCACAGACAGCATGAGCACAAACAGGGGCACCATGAGGCTGCCCACGTTGAGGGCCACGTGGACCTGGTCGGCAGCCCGGGCCCCTGCTGGTGCTGCCCTGGTGGCGTGCTGGGAGATGTGGCAGTGCAAGACGCAGTTGTCAGCCAGGTTTAGCGAGGCCAGTGTCTGGCCGTCGTCCTGTAGCAGCTGGCCCTGGTAGATGAGGCGCACCTGGTGCTCTTGACCGGCGAAGTAGGTCCTGAAGTGGGGTTGGGGAGAAAGGACATGGGTTACATCAGAGCTAGGTTATGGAGTTTTCTGCTGGCCGCCATCAGTCTCATATTGTGGTTAACCTCTCATGAGTGGAGACCTCCGGGAAGACCACATGCAACATATGTGCACAACATCTGCCGAGAGTGGTCTCATCCCAGAGGATCTAGCAGGTGTAATGAACTATATGTTGGAACGTATGCTTTATTTGACGAGTTTATGTAAGAAATTGCATGACTGTTGGCCATTACAGAGTAGGAAGTCTCAAATAAGGCTTTTCAGTCAATCATATTTCATGGCTTTTGGAAACGGCTCACAAAGCTTGTTTTTCCACTCACAGCTGTCCCCCCGTGTTTGTTATGAAGTTGACATCTCAATGAAGTAATACAGACCACACTGAAGTGTCCTGGGTTTTATTTGCGAGTTCTACAGTCCTGTAAAAAGATAGGGGGATGATTGCAACAGGCAATGTAACAACATCCATAATGTTTTTTTTAGGAAACGTTTTTGTAAAACATTTTGAAACCAGAGCCCGGACTTAAACCCGATCGAACATCTCTGGAGACCTGAAAATAGCTGTGCAGCGACGCTCCCCATCCAACCTGACAGAGCTTGAGAGGATCTGCAGAGAAGAATGGGACAAACTCCCCAAATAAAGGTGTGCCAAGCTTGTAGCGTCATACCCAAGAAGACTCAAGGCTGTAATCGCTGCCAAAGGTGCTTCAACAAAGTACTGAGTAAAGGGTCTGAATACTTATGTAAAATAAGATATTTCAATTTTTTATTTTAATACATTTGCAAAAATCCCCCCAAAACTTTTTGCTTTGTCATTATGGGTTATTGTGTGTAGATTGGTGAGGGAAAAAAACGATTTAATCAATTTTAGAATAAGGCTGTAACGTAACAAAATGAAGTAATACAGACCACACTGAAGTGTCCTGGGTTTTATTTGCGAGTTCTACAGTCCTGTAAAAAGATAGGGGGATGATTGCAACAGGTAATGTAACAACATCCATAATGGTTTTTTAGGAAACAGTTTTGCAAAGCATCTTGAAACTTTCTCTGTAAAACTAACTTTCATCAAGGTTTTTATATGGTCTCCAATTGAATTGGCGGTATAGGCACATGTATATTGACTCATTTGCATATTTTATTACAAATCTCAAGTTTGTGTCTACATTCAACTGATTAAGCTCAATTGGTAGAGCACGGCGCTTGTAACGCCAGGGTAGTGGGTTCGATCCCCGGGACCACCCATACATAAAAATGTATGCACACATGACTGTAAGTCGCTTTGGATAAAAGCGTCTGCTAAATGGCATATTATTATTATTTATTAATGTTAATTGTGATATACACTGATTGTACAAAACATTATGAACACCTGTCCTAACCACGAAAGACTGACCAGGTGAAAGCGATGATCCCTTATTGATGGCACTTGTTAAATCCACTTCAATCAGTGTAGATGAAGGGGAGGAGACATGTTAAGGAAGGATTTTAAAGCCTTGAGACAATTGAGACATGGATTGTGCATGTGTGCCATTCAGAGGGTGAATGGGCAAGACAAAATATTTAAGTGCCTTTGAATGGTGCATGGTAGGTGCCAGGCACACAGGTTTGTGTCAAGAACTGCAACGCTGCTGGGTTTTTCATGCTCAGCTGTTTCCCGTGTGTATCAAGAATGGTCCACCACTCAAATGACATCCAGCCAACTTGACACAACTGTGGTAAGCATTGGAGTCAACATGGACCAACATCCCTGTGGAACGCTTTTAGCACCTTGTAGAGTCCATGCTCCGATTAATTAAGGCTGTTCTGATGGGAAAGGGGGGGTGCAACTCAATATTAGGAAGGTGTTCGTAATGTTTTGTACACTCAGTGTATGTAAAGAGTAAAAATGACCCTATTAGGGTGTGGTGCCTGGCCTTAGCCTACGCAGTATATTATTCAGGCTACCTGTAATGATGTAATCCTAAAGTACTTTACCTTCTGCTGAAAAATGTTCAAGGTGACAAATGGTCCACCCACACAGACAGTGTGGTGAAGAAGGCGCAACAGCGCCTCTTCAACCTCAGGAAGCTGAAGAAATTTGGCTTGGCACCTAAAACCCTCTCAAACTTTTACAGACGCACAATTGAGAGCATCCTGTCGGGCTGTATCACCACCTGGTACGGGAACTGCACCGCCCACAACCGCAGGGCTCTCCAGAGGGTGGTGCGGTCTGCCCAACGCATCACTGGGGGCAAACTACCCGCCCTCCAAGACACATACAGCACCCGATGTCACAGGAAGGCCAAAAAGATAATTAAGTACAACAACCACCCGAGTCACGGCCTGTTCACCCCGCTATCATCCAGAAGGCGAGGTCAGTACAGGTGCATCAAAGCTGGGACCGAGAGACTGAAAAACAGCTTTTATCTCAAGGCCATCAGACTGTTAAACAGCCATCACTAGCACATGAGAGGCTGCTGCCTATATACCGATTAGAAATCACTGGCCACTTTAATAAATGGAACACTAGTCACTTTAATAATGTTTACATATCTTGCATTACTCATCTCATATGTATATACTGTATTCTATACTATTCTACTGTATCTTAGTCTATGCCGCTCTGACATTACTCGTGCATATATTTACATATTCCTAATTGCGTTGCTTTACTTAGATTTGTGTGTATTGGGTATATGTTGTGAAAGTGTTAGATATTACTTGTTAGATATACAGCACTGTCGGAGCTAGAAACACAAGCATTTCGCTACACCTGCAATAACATCTGCTAAACACATGTATGTGACCAATACAATTACATTTGATTAGATATACATTTTTAATATTTGAATGTCTATTTCAGACAGTTGTTTCTCTCCAAGGTGATATTGGAAATTACAATATTTTCAAATGTATAATTTTTGTGTTCAGCAGAGCTTTCCTTTCGAAATGGCTATCCATGTTTTTACCCAAGCCTTACAAATTCAGACTTTTGCTAATATGGTCAATCTCCTCAAAAAGCTTGTCCATTCACATCCATAACGCCTATAATTTACTTTATTTCTCCAACATGCAAATATTTAGAAGAAACCAGTCAGTATCTGGTGTGACCACCATTTGCCTCATGCAGCACGACACATCTCCTTCGCATAGAGTTGATCAGGCTGATGATTGTGGCTTGTGGGATGTTGTCCCACTCCTCTTCAATGGCTGTGCGAAGTTGCTGGATATTGGCAGGAACTGGAACACTGTCGTATGTCGATCCAGAGCATCCCAAACATGCTCAATTGGTGACATGTCTGGTGAGTATGCAGGCCATGGAAGAACTGGGAAAAGTTCAGCTTCCAGGAATTGTGTACAGATCCTTGCAACATGGGGCCGTGCATTATCATGCTGAAACATGAGGTGATGGCGGTGGAAGAATGGCACGACAATGGGCCTCAGGATCTCGTCACGGTATCTCTGTGCATTCAAATTTCCATTGATAATATGCAATTGCGTTCGTTGTCCGTAGCATATGTCGCTTTGGATAAAAGCGTCTGCTAAATGGCATATTATTATTATTATTATTATTATTATATGGCTGCCCATACCATAAACCCACCGCCACCATGGGGCACTCTGTTCACAACGTTGACATCAGCAAACCGCTCGCACACACAACGCCATACTCGCTGTCTGCCATCTGCCCGGAACAGTTTAAACCGGGATTCATCCGTGAAGAGCACACTTCTCCAGCGTCCCAGCGGCCATCAAAGGTGAGCATTTTCCCACTGAAGTCGGTTTCGACGCCGAACTGCAGTCAGGTCAAGACCTTGGTGAGCACGCAGATGAGCTTCCCTGAGATGGTTTCTGACAGTTTGTGCAGAAATTATTTGGTTGTGCAAACCCAAATTCTCAGACGATCCCGCAGGTGAAGAAGCCGGATATGGAGGTCCTGGTCTGGCGTGGTTACAAGTGGTCTGTGGGGCCGGTTGGACGTACTGCCAAATTGTCTAAAACGATGTTGGAGGCAGCTTATGGTAGAGAAATTAAAATTAAATTATCTTGCAACAGCTCTGGTGGACATTCCGACAGTCAGCATACCAATTGCACGCTCCCTCAAAACTTGAGACTGTGGCATTGTGTTGTGTGTCAAAACTGCACATTTTAAAGTGGCCTTTAATTGTCTCCAGCACAAGGTGCACCTGTGAAATGATCATGCTGTTTAATCAGCTGCTTGATTTGCCACACCTATCAGGTGGCTGGATTATATTGGCAAAGGAGAAATGCCCAGTAATGGATGTAAACAAATTTGTGCACAAAATTTGAGATAAATACACTTTTTGTGCATATGAAAAACTTCTGGGATCTTTTATTTCAGCTCATGAATACTTTACATGTTGCGTTTATACAATTGTTCAGTATAAATTCATGAGACATTTATAAGTTATATTCCTCAAGAAACACTCCCCTACTTATTTATTTGCACAGTGACGCTATAACTTTAAATTTGGCTCTATACTCCAGCATTTTGTATTTGACATAAAATGTTTTATATCAGGTGATAGTACAGAATGTCACCTTTTATTTGAGGGTATTTTCATAACTATCTGATTTACTGTTTAAAAATGAAAGCACTATATATATCTAGTCTCCACATTTGAAGGTGTCATAAGTGTTTGGACAAATACACTTAGTGTATTAAATTTAGTCAAAAGTTTAGTATTTGATCCCATATTCTTAGCACGCAATGATTACAAACTTGTTGGATGCATTTGCAGTTTGTTTTGGGATTATGTTGTGCCCAATAGAAATGAATTGTTAAGTAATCTATTGTCATTTTGGAGTTACTTTTATTGTAAATAAGAATATGTTTCTGAGCACTTATAAATTAATGTGGATTTTACCATGATTATGGATAATCATGAATGAATCGTGGATAATGATGAAACTCATTACAGACGCAGTTACAGATGCACAGAGATCATGCCCCCAAAACATAATTTTTCGTGAAGTATTATATTCATGCCTCAGTAACTTTCTATAGTAAAATACGGTCTGAGTTACAACACATGCAATTTATTTAAATTTTTTGTAGTATATGAGTTTTGGGATAATTTACATTTACAATGCATTCGGAAAGTATTCAAACCCCTTGACTTTTTCCACATTTTGTTACGTTACAGCCTTATTTTAAAATTGATTAAATTGTTTCGGCCCCCCTCATCAATCTACACACAATAACCCATAATGACAAAGCAAAAACAGGTTTTTATACATTTTTGCTAATTTATTAAAAACAAGAAACTGAAATATAACATTTACATAAGTATTCAGACCCTTTACTCAGTACTTTGTTGAAGCACCTTTGGCAGCGATTACAGCCTTGAGACTTCTTGGGATTGACGCTACAAGCTTGGTACACCTGTATTTGGGGAGTTTGTCCCATTCTTCTCTGCAGATCCTCTCAAGCCCTGTCAGGTTGGATGGGGAGCGTCGCGGCACAGCTATTTTCAGGACTCTCCAGAGATGTTCGATCGGGCTCAAGTCCGGGCTCTGGATTGGCCACTCAAGGACCTTCAGAGACTTGTCCCGATGTCACTCCTGCGTTGTCTTGGCTGTGTGCTTAGGGTCATTGGCCAGTCTGAGGTCTTGAGGGCTCTGGAGCAGGTTTTCTTCAAGTACTTTGCTCAATTTATGTTTCCCTCGATCCTGACTAGTCTCCCAGTCCCTGCCGCTGAAAAACATCCCCACAGCATGATGCTGCCACCACGCTTCACCGTAGGGATGGTGCCAGGTTTCCTCCAGACGTGACAATTGGCATTCAGGCCAAAGAGTTCAATCTTGGTTTCATCAGAACAGAGAATCTTGTTTCTCATGGTCTGAGAGTCCTTTAGGTGCCTTTTGGCAAACTCTAAGCAGGCTGTCGTGCCTTTTACTGAGGAGTGGCTTCCGTCCGGCCACTACCATAAAGGCCTGATTTGTGGAGTGCTGCAGAGATGGTTGTCCTTCTGGAAGGTTCACCCATCTCCACAGAGGAACTCTGGAGCTCTGTCAGAGTGACCATCGGGTTCTTGGTCACCTCCCTGACCAAGGCCCTTCTCCCCTGATGCTCAGTTTGGCCGGGCGGCCAGCTCTAGGAAGAGTCTTGGTGGTTCCAAACAGGTGTGTGCCTTTCCAAATCATGTCCAATCAATTGAACTCCAATCAAGTTTTAGAAACATCACAAGGATGATCAATGGAAACAGGATGCACCTGAGCTCAATTTTGATTTTCATAGCAAAGGGTCTGAATTCTTATGTAAATGTGATAACTGTTTTTTATTTTTTATTACATTTGTAAAAAGTTCTAAAAACCAGTTTTCGCTTTGTCATTATGGGGTAGTGTGTGTAGATTGATGACAAACATGTATTTAATCAATTTTAGAATAAGGCTGTAACATAACAAAATGTGGAAAAAGGGGTCTGAATACTATCAATTTCACAACCCTGTTTGTAAGCTTTCAAATGATATTAAACTAAATTGTTTCTCTTTTCAAGTGATGAAGACATGGATGTTTCATGGTAGGGTGGGGTGTGCAGATGGGTAAACTTTTAGCACCTCTATCTCTTGAATATTTTAGCATTCAGGTCCAAAACGTTGCTTTCTGACCACTTCTACCAAGAACAAACATGTATGGAAGGTTTTTAGGCTGAGGTCAAAGAGTGATTTAATTCATATAGAACGTCCCTTAGATTTACTAACCCTAAAAGATAAACAATGGTTTCCCACTTTGAAATACGCTACATAGTTAAGGGCACCACATTATAAATTGTACACTATCTTCAAATGAGACTCAGCAGTATCATGTTGCCACAAGCAGCAGTATTTTTATTTGGAAATACACTTTCGTGTTTTGGATATTTTCAAATATACAGCTAAAAACAACTAGTCTTCTTCAAATAGATGTAGTTGTAAATGCCTGCCAATACTTTCTAAATGCATTTCAATACTCAATTAAATATAGGTCTATTTTCAAATAACCTAATCTAAATACTTTTTACTAATGTATTTTAAAGTAATTGAAATATAGTTCTATGAACGCAGGTCTGATTGATACACACCCACCCCTTCACCTCTGCCAGCCTCAATAGCGGTCGGCACCAGTGTGAATCTATGTAAACACACTACCCAAATATTAACCATAGGGATTATATTCAAACAATCTAACTACAACCCACAAATCCCTTGAGGGCTAGTTTCTGCCTAAGTATTTGGAAGACTATTAAGCCGATTCCCTTGATGCTATAAGTGAGCCTAAAAAGCATCCTGAAACACCTTGCCATGTGTGGCATCATCCCCAAGGTCTATAAGGAGACACAGAATGCTGTGAGATGGCTCTGCAAATTCATCTGTTGAGAATTAGTTTGCCTTGCACTTGGCTAAATCTGGTGAAATGCATTAAGTCCCTGCATAAAGGTTAAATAAAATACAAAATAGGAGAAGTTTATGTCTACTTGTATGGGTAAGCCGCCCTCTTAACTAGGAGACCAACCAAATGAATGTATGTCTCAGTGTTGATATGAATGAATAGGCTAAATTCAATAGATAGATACAAACCTCAAAAGAATAGGTACCTTTTGATGTAACCAATGGTGTCCTCAGGCTTGACCTGGGCCATCCTCTCTGTGTCGTTGAGGAACTTAAGACGCAAGACCATGTTCCTCTCGGCAGCGTCAGCAGTATCCACATCTGGGGAGTGGCTGTCACTTGAGGCACTGTCTAGTGGACTCGGGGTGGGGAAAGAAGGGGAAGGAGAGGGGCCGGCTCCAACCTGGCCATCTCCAACCCGCTCTCGGTGTCTCAGACCATCCCTCCTGAAGCCCGACCCCTCTTCTTCCAGAAGGCTGCTCTCTCCACCTGCCCCCTCTACTCCTCTTTCTCCACACCCCTCAGGTATCCGTCCTCCCGCCTCTGCCTTACCTTCCTCCCCCAAAGGTGGAGTCAGGCTGTCCAGAGTGGTTGTGGTAGGTGGCAACTCCGGACTGTCGCTGTCATTGGTGGTGACGTTATTGGGAGCTGGGTGCTGGTCAGAGGGGGCGGTCCGGAGCTGGAGGGAGGCAGAGACTGAAGAGGAGGCGGCGGCTGTAGGGGGTGTGGTGAAGAGGTGTTCGGGGGGCTCAGACGTGTGCGTGGAGGCCCAGGCAATCACCAGTACCAGCAGCAGGAGGACCGCCCCAAAGAGCAGGGTGACCTCGTCCCCCACCCCCTCGATTAGAGCCATACCCGGGCCGGGGGTCCCACACTAAGGCAAGGTTTGACTAGGCACCTAAAACAAAGGGGGAGGGAGGAAAATGATTAGTTGGGGCTCAGTCTAACACATACTATAATGGTTTGCCTAGCCAGAGCTTAGTCAAATATGACATTGATGTAGGCAACATTCTGAGGTGTTCAGTTCTTACGGCACATAGTCTACTCAATTATGGATTGTTACAATCATAAATAAATCCCCTATTGTTTCAAAACAGAAATTGCACTATTCACCACGTTTCTCCATGACATCAGCAAAATAGAAGCATCTAAGATAGATTGGTCTGACTGCGGACTGCTCATGGGCGTTCCTTGCTACAGAAGGTGTTCCTTGCCAAGAGGAAGTTGAATTGAGTTCTTGAGCTGCAATGATTGGGGGGGGGGGGGGGGGCTCTTGGCCACAGAGACAATATTTTGCTTTTTTAAAGCAATTATACAATTTTTGTCTTGTGACTGAGATACAACATATCAGCTTTAAAGCTAATTTCCTGCAATTCTTTTTCATTTTGCCATGGCTTATCCCGTGTTCTTACGGTATCTGAGTGACTCAAACGTTATAACAAAATCAATGGGGGCCACATGCCACAACATTTTTTACATTTTAGATTCTCTCCAACTGTCCAGTTTTTAATTTAGGTGACTGTTAGTTCTCAAAGATGATCTTATATAAAAATATATTGCTCCATTATCTTTTCTACATACTTTATATCTGTTTTTAGTCATTTAAGTTTACACTGACAATGTTTTACCATCGGTATCTAGATTGTCATGCCAACCTTGTGCCATCCCGGGCCATCCCAACTGACAGGTGTACCATATCAAGAAGCTGATTAAACAGCATGATCATTACACAGGTGAACCTTGTGCAGGGGACAATAAAATGTGCAGTTTTGTCACAACACAATGCCACAGATGTCTCAAGTTTTGAGGGAGTGTGCAATTGGCATGCTGACTGCAGGAATGTCCACCAGAGCTGTTGCCAGATAATTTAATGTTCATTTCTCTACCATAAGCCACCTCAGTCTTTTTAGAGAATTTGGCAGTACATCCAACCGGCCTGACAACCGCAGACCATGTGTATAGCGTCGTGTGGGCGAGCGGTTTTCTGATGTCAACATTGTGAACAGAGTGCCCCATGGTGGCGGTGTGGTTATGGTATGGGCAGGCAGAAGCTACGGACAACGAACACAATTGCATTTTATTGATTGCTAATTTCAATGCACAAAAATACCGTTACGAGATCCTGAGGCCCATTTTTTTAAAGGTATCTGTGACCAACAGATGCATATCTGTATTCCCAGTCATGTGAAATCCATAGATTAGGGCCTAATTTATTTATTTCAATTGACTGATTTCCTCATATGAACTGTAACTCAGTAAAATCTTTGAAATTGTTGCATGTTGCGTTCATATTTTTGTTCAGAATAATTATGGTGAGCTCTTCAGAGTTCAGACATGTAACCATGCTGATGCTAGTGGTCATGAAAAGGAATGCATCATCAGTATTCCTTTTAGCTATGGGTAACCCAGTGTTCCTATATTGTGTCAGATATATGGAGGGTTGAATGGACCACTGGACTATAGAGAAACAAGGGCCTATACAAGACCAACTACAGAAATGAGACCAAATCTATCTGTGAAAGCACTACGCAAAATCCACTGGTCCATGCTCACCCGGAGGCTCTCTACTTACAACACCAAATCTGAAACATGTAACCTTGTTGTTATTCTACCAAAATAACAATCATGGAAGTGTCTTGAGTTAATCCATGATTCTTATTAAGCTTTATAAGGGAATGACATGGGCAAGCCTACCTGTTATTTACACAAGGCATTCATGATCATTTTCACAGAAAAGTATTGCTGCCTGATTGTTTAACCCTATCAGTCCCGAGACCCCAGCAAAAATCGGCTTTTCATTTATCTGAATGTCCAGCCCTTATATTTAGCCTTACAATTAAGAGATTTACCATTTTATTTTCAGGACCAGGGCTACAAGTAGAACTCAAAACAATTTGACGTAAACAGTTATTAAAAAATAAGGTCCCCCAAAGCAAAAACCAGATAAAAATGAATTTATATGATTGCTGTAAGTACAGAAATTGTTTGCTCAGTGGAAAATTAATATCCAACTAGTCAGTAACAACTGTGTGGAGTTCGGAGTTTGTGACAGCAACTATATGAGCTTATTACAGTATTACAGACACTATCTCCTGGAATTTCCAATTATCTTCTATGTAGATGAACCCCTTACCTTCTAATGACTCTTTTGTAGCTTGTGAGCATCATAGAGCAAAACATGTTACACATGCGTGTTTGTGAGAGCTTTTCATGAATAGCTTTAAATAATTTGTAGCTCAAGCCATTTACTCTACAGAAAATTTTGTAAAAAAAGACACCGAATAAATTATGATTGACGAATAATTTTGAAGGTAAGCAGAAGTCAGGGTTTCCCAAACTCGATCCTGGGGACCCCAAAGGGTGTATGTTTTTGCCCTAGCACTACACAGCTGTTTCAAATAATCAAAGCTTAATGATGAGTTGATTATTTTAATCAGCTGTGTAGTGCTAGGACAAAAAACAAAATGTGCACCCACGGGGGGGGGGGCCCCAGGACCGAGTTTGGTAAACACTGATGTAAGAATAAAGCTCCACTCCACAATGCCAAATGCTTGCTAAATCACTTTTTTCAACTATAATGTTTCTTTCCAGGACAATGATTCATACCAACGGATGCAGAAGAAATTGAAGAATCCAATGTTAAAGTATTTTTCCCTAGTGGTGTAAAGCACTTTAAAGTACTACTTAAGTAGTTATTTTGGGTATATGTACTATGCATATTTTGACAACTTATACTTTACACGTTTACTTTTGATACTGAAGTATATTTTAGCAATTACATTTGATACTTAAGTATATTTAAAACCAAATACTTTTACTCAAGTAGTATTTTACTGGGTGACTTTTACTTGATTCATTTTCTATTAAGGTATCTTTACTTTTACTCAAGTATGACAATTGGGTACTTTTTCCACCAATGTTTTCACTTAAGTACGTTAAACCACTGGTTGTCTATTTGTTGTTGCCTTGATGTTCTTCTTGTCTTCTTACTGTACTTCTAGACTACGTTTTATTTTATTTAGCGCCACACTTGCCAAGCCATCATTGTAAATTAGAATTTGTTCTTAACTGACCTGACTGGTTTAAAAAAAAGCCGCAATTATGCGTACTTGTCTTGTACATTCAAACAACAGTCATGACAACTGTGGGGTCAAAAGTCCTGCTATGTGGTGTGATGCGCTGACCAACTGGCAAGTGTCTTCACTGACATTTTCAACCTGTCCCTGACTGTCTGTAATCCCAACACGTTTCAAGCAGACCACCATAGTCCCTGTGCCCAAGAACACTAAGGGTAACCTGCCTAAATGACTACCGACCCGTAGCACTCACGTCTGTAGCCATGAAGTGCTTTGAAAGGCTGGTCATGGCTCACAACACCATTATCCCAGAAACCCTAGACCCACTCCAATTTGCATACCACCCCAACAGATCCACAGATGATGCAATCTCTATTGCACTCCACACTGCCCTTTCCCACCTTGACAAAAGGAACACCAATGTGAGAATGCTATTGATTGACTACAACTCAGCGTTCAACACCATAGTGCCCTCAAAGCTCATCACTAAGCTAAGGACCCTCTGCAACTGGTTCCTGGAATTCCTGACAGGCAGCCCCCAGGTAGTAAGGGTATGTAACAACATATCTGCTACGCTGATCCTCAACACGGGGGCCCCTCAAGGGTGCGTGCTCTGTCCACTCCTGTACTCCCTGTTCACCCATGACTGCATGGCCAGGCATGACTCCAACACCATCATTAAGTTTGCCGACGACACAACAGTGGTAGGCCTGATCACCGACAACGATGAGACAGCCTATAGGGAGGAGGTCAGAGACCTGGCCATGTGGTGCCAGGATAACAACCTCTCCCTCAACGTGATCAAGACAAAGGAGATGATTGTGGACTACAGGAAAAAGAGGACTGAGCATGCCCTCATTCCCATCAACGGGGCTGTAGTGGAGCAGGTTGAGAGCTTCAAGTTCCTTGGTGTCCACATCACCAACAAACTATCCTGGTCCAAACACACCAAGACAATTGTGAAGAGGGCACGACAAAGCCTTATCCCCGTCAGGAGACTGAAAAGATTTGGCATGGGTCCTCAGATCCTCAAAATGTTATACAGCTGCACCATCGAGAGCATCCTGACTAGTTGCATCACTGCCTGGTATGGCAACTGCTCGGCCTCCGACCGCAAGGCACTACAGAGGGTAGTGCGTACGGCCCAGTACATCACAGGGGTCAAGCTTCCTACCATCCAGGACCTTTATACCAGGCAGTGTCAGAGGAAGGCCAAAGAAATTGTCAAAGACTCCAGCCACCATAGTCATAGACTGTTCTCTCTGCTACCACACGGCAAGCGGTAACGGAGCGCCAAGTCTAGGTCCAAAAGGCTTCTTAACAGCTTCTACCCCCAAGCCATAAGACTCCTGAACAGCTACCGAAATGGCTACACCCAACCCCCTCTTTTACGCTACTGCTCCTCTCTGTTTATTATCCATGCGTAGTCACTTTAACTCTACCTACATGCACATACACTACCAGTCAAAGGTTTGGACACACCTACTCATTCCAAAGTTCTTCATTAATTTGACTATTTTCTACATTGTAGAATAATAGTGAAGACATTAAAACTATGAAATAACACGTATGGAATCATGTAGTAACCCCAAAAGTGTTAAACAAATCAAAATATATTATATATATATATTTTTTTATCTTCTTCTATTTCACCTTTATTTAACCATGTAAGCCAGTTGAGAACAAGTTCTCATTTACAACTGCGACCTGGCCAAGATAAAGCAAAGCAGTGCGATGAAAACAACAACACAGAGTTACATATGGAATAAACAAAAACAAAATGTACAGTCAATAACACAACAGAAAATCTATATACAGTGTGTGCTAATG